CAACCTTTCAAAATTCAAACTCAATATTTTCAGCCTCCTGAGATTCAACTGGCTCTATTTCACTGTCTTAAATTCGGCGTCACGTCACGTGACTAAGCAAACGTAACGTGATTGGCTGGGTGTTGGACGCCACAATCAATTGCTAATGTCTGTGACCTGAAGTAACCCTTCCCTTTTTACACTGAATTTAGACGCCGAATTTAAGACAGTGAAATAGAGCCAGTTGAATCTCAGGAGGCTGAAAATATTGAGTTTGAATTTTGAAAGGTTGAACTTTTTTATATGCAGATTTCTTTAACACTCAAAAATTAAACTAAAAAAATAAGTATTGAAAATGTAATCACTTTGAAATAGTAATGTGAATTTTTAGCTTGAAGAGAAAAAAACAAATGGAATTTCAACTGTGTAGCAATAATGACAATGAACTTCTTTTTTAGGTCAAAAATGTGTTCTGAATATATTTTAACACTGAAACTGTAAGTACAAACATACAACATTTAAATTTCAGTGCCATTTTTTCTTCAAATCCCAGCGACACAGATTTACTTCCATACTAGTAGGTTCCCAATGAGAAAATACATTGGGAACAAGTAGCACTAAATTGGCAATAAATGATTAAAAAACCCCAATAAATGTGGTCTAATTTACAGCACCGCCTGCTGTAGTTCAGTTAAAGCTGGGTTTTTAAGGAACGGGTAAGGTGGCACGGTCTAATTTTAAGCCTGTTTGATTAGCATTAAGCTCCAGATTAGTTGTTTCACCTGTTCATTGTCTTTGATATGAGATCCCTCTGGTATTGCATCCACTCCTTTCTCCTCTCCGGTTCGCCTCGATGCCTCTGTCAAAAACTCCACGACTTTTCCCTCGGGGACACAATCAGGGTTCCACAACAACTGGTCGTCGTTTTCATAGACTAGACGGCGAAATTTAAATAAAAAAAAAAAAAAACGGTTAAAAGGGTCGACCCTCATATCAACAGAAACACCAGCAGACACTTTAACATCAGAGAGGAAGACAACAACCACTTACTTCTCTCATTTTCTTTGTATTTACACAAACCGACCGGAGTCTCTGCCTGATACATAGAACCCACCATAATCTCCTGTTGGTAGAAACAAATAGTTACTCACAACCACACAGATAAGAAATAGCTCTTTTACTTTCCATTTTTACAGGCAAATATAGCACTTTGGTTATTGCGTAATGTGACCATAGAAGTGAGTGAAAAGTGCGAGCCCACCTTCTTCCAGTCTTCAGAGGGAACATAGTCCTCATCTTCCTCCGACTCCTCCTCCACATCATGATTACCTGAGAAGTGTTATAAAGGTTAGAAAAGCGACTGCTTCTTAATGCAAACATTAGGACATGCCGCTTGCAGACTCTTACTTTCAAAGTACTTGGCGCGGCGGATCAGCTCTGCCGTCCCGAGCGATCGGACTGAGCGTGTGCGGCCATCAGAAGAGGTCTGAGGGTCGCTGCCTTGCTCTGATGAAGCCTTAAAATCTTCACCCTAAAAGAAAACCAAACATGACCTTATAGAGATTTAACAAACACATCTCTGAGACAGGAATGTGAAACTTGGACATTAACTTTTATTGTATTTTGCTGGGATAAGAGAAACGATTATATGTTTTGTAGCAAAAGACTCAATGGCTTTTCACTTTATGTCCCCCCTGCATTCGATCAGAGCCCAGAAAACAAGAATGATGCTCTTAAAAACAAAACAAATGCATTATGGAGTAGGCTTTTTGACAAAACGACATACTTTATGCCATACAACTGAGCTGCTAAATAACAGCATTTATTCATGTTTTGAAATACTAAGATATTGACTAAGACATTTACCAATTAGCATTATCAGATATCGGATGAATGATGCAGATCCAGTATTCTGATCCAGTCATTTCTGGTTTAATCAATATCATACACAGCAATACAGTTACAGCAATCTAGTGACTTTTACTTTATGATTTAACGCTGATTACGTAATCGCGCAGAGCAAACACAGCAGCTAGTGATATTCAAATTTTTAACATTATTTATGCCATGTGTGATGCATTTACTCGCATGGCAAGATATACTGTTAATTATAAATTAGCACTGGGTCAGCATGGGTTATGGTGCAACCCGCTCAGCCCCTTTATCAGTGCTGGATTTGAATAATATGGATCAGTGCATCTTGACACACAATTGAAGGTTGTTAGATGAAAAATTGTCCAAACGGACTCAAGGCCGATTAATTGATGCATTACTGGTTTCAAAGATGGAAATATTAAGAAAGAAAGGTTAAGATAGTAAATAATGTGGCAGAAATGGAGGAAAACTTGAATTTGCAATTGAATTTCAATTCTATTGGACTATTGATTATTTGCACAGTAGCTTTCCATGTCCTGGTTTTAAATCACCACTAAAACGCCAGCATACCTCATTCTTTTTCAGCTCTCCAGTGCTTCTGCTACTTTCATCATGATCAAGGTCCTCTTCTTCATCCTCCTCTTCCTCATCCTCTTCCTCTGGTTCTTCATCTTCCTCCTCCTCTTCCTCTGCAGGAGATCTGCCCCCATAACCATAAAGACTAAGTAGCTCATGTATGGGCATCTCGCCCTCCTGTAAAACAAAAAGTAATTCAACCAATAATCCATTCAACAGTGAATTAGAGAGAACAGATAAAAAGATGTTGATGTTTAAAATTCTTGAACCTTAAAATTCACAGTAAAATACGTGATTTATTTTTTCTTTTTTAGCTTTAGTTTTCTGTTTTTGTTCTTTTACCGTAATGCTGACTGAAACCCAAAACGACTGAAATGTTTCACACAAACCCGAGCTAGATCTTCGATCTCGTTGGAATTGGTCTCATCTGTTGCCTCCAGCAGCTCCTCCTCCTCCAGGGTACGTTCATCGTCGAAGTCGTGAACAAGCATGTCCGCCGACGGATCAAAATCGTGGTCATCAGAACCTGCTGAGCCTCCTGGAAAAATTCAATTTAGAAAAAAAGTCTGAGCTAAAATTAAAAGCAAGATCTCACAAATCTTTGTGTATAAGACAACAGATCAAATTATTACAAGAGAACATTCAAAATAACAAATTAACTATGATTGTCAATATTAGCAGTTGATATTCTGAGGGAGGGGTGTTAAATGTTCCACATATACCAAAGGCAATGCAGAGAAACAAAAAACAACCTACCTGGGCTCGCATTCCCGAGGGAGGGCTGAAACACAGCAAAAGGAGGGGCATAAAGTTAGGAAGACAGAAGAAATAAATCCAAACATATGCAGGACATAGTATTAGATGATAAAAAAAAATAAATAAATAAACACAACATCCCAAACAAGCAGAACATTCATAACAAAGTGTAAAAGAGTGATTTATCTATATACAAAGGTTCAAAATCCAAAAAAACCCAAAAAGATTGAAGGGACGAATCAAACTTCACAGACGTTTCATAGGAGGCAGAAATGCTAATTAAAATTTGCTTTAATGGTCCACAGATGATATAGATGTTAAAGATCAAGGTGATAAAACCCAGGGAGAGCAGTGGGGAAAACTACTGAAGAAAGTGAATAGTAGTCATAAATATTACTGTTGTCAAAACATTCAACTTTATAGTACTTTCCTTATATTGTGAAGCCTTACATAATAAGGTGAAATATTACTTTAAAATGTGAAAAAAAAATGTGGCTCAATATTAGCAGAAAGAAATAAGTTGATTAGGGCTGAAACAATTGATCAGATATATTGTGATTATTCAATTACTGAAATAATCGTCTACTCGTTTTGTACTTGTTTAAACATCAAATGGAGCATTGACTCTAAAACAAGCCTTCAGCTGACAGAGCAACCCACTTAGAGCAGTAACTAAGACCGAAACCGTAAAAAATATATATAAATATTTTGCATTTATGGCGGAAACATTTTTTTCATCTATCAAAATGCTCTATTAAGAACTCTATAAAAGAAAACGTTTTACTTTTGGTCTAAGTTCTGTAAAAAAAAAAAGAAAAAAAAAAAGAAAAGGATTATTCTAAGGAACCTTTTATTACTGATTATTAATCAATCGGAAAACTAATCAACAGATTTATCAGTTAGCAAAATGACGGCTGGTTGCAGCCCTAAAGCTGAAACATTGAAACAACTTATTTTATGCTTATCGGGTGCTGACCAGTGATTGGCTGGTGGAAAGCTAAAAAACAAAATTACTATATTCTAATCTTTTTTTTCTATAAGTGAACACAACACACCCAAATCGTAGCATGTGTTGAAGGCCTCTATCCTGTGCAGGTTGTGACTCGTGAAGGGAGACTCGCTTAGCCATTTTCCAAACCAATGAAATCAGAGACAAACAAAAGGTGTGGGAGGTTTTTTTTTTTATGAAGAGAAAAATGGCAGTTCTACATCATACTTCGTAATTTGGGCCACTTCTTAATAAGAGGGCAAGATTTATGTGAAAACAAGAGCTCCTGTAAACATGTACATTTGCTAGTAGTGCTGGGCGATATGGAAAAAATCATATATCATGATATGGACTATTTTATATCACAATAATGATATATATCGCAATATGCTCCAATTAAGTACATTTTCAGCAAATCTCTGAAAAATATGACAAAATAATATAATTGCTTACTTTTTCAACTTTATTTTGAAGTGACATTTATAGAACTGTCACAAATTAGAAAAATAAATTGTAGTGCAACAATATATATGCATAAGATGAGGTGGAAGTATGGCTACAGTATCCTTCACATTTTTTTCAAATCCTACGGGTATTTAAATTAAATTACTGTGGTTCTTCTTTAGGTATTAGAAGAGGTTTGTCGTGTTTCCGTCGGGTAAGGGAACAGTCTTGTAGCATAGTTTGCAAATGTTGTCTGCTCCTTGTTGGACTTGCTAAATCCAAAATGTAACCAAATCACAGATGTGCCCCCTCTTTTTGGTAAAATTTCTTTATCTTGGGTTGCCTGCGTAGCTGTCTCTGTTTGTTGCGACCACAGGTTTAATACTTCAGCCTCCTGCGTCTCCATCTCTCATGAGTTAAGTAACGTAAAGCATGTCGCAAACCCGCATGTGAGTCAAAAACCCGTAAAGAAGCGTCATGTTGCAAAAACCACAGGACGCCGCTTCTTTGTGGATAAAAAAAAAAATCTTGTTTATCACTTATAAGCTGTGTGTAGGCTACATGGCTACACTAATACAATTGTCGTAGTCTACCATGGGAAATATTTGCATGAATACGAGATACAATTGTGTTAGAAACGATAGAATAGAATTAGCACGATAGACACTTTTCTATCGTCCGAACGGTATGTATCGTCTTATCGCCCAGCCCTATTTGCTAGCACATTAAGTAATTTGGTAACCAACTGTAATTATTATTGTCTTGTTCTTTGTAATCTTTAGGTATTACCTTCTTAAGTTGTAAAGGACATTGTTTTGCATAACAGTGGTTATATACTGCTGTATTTTCAAAAGATTGATTTTAGGTTTCTGGCCTTTTTTCAGTCATTTTAACAGAAATATCAAATAAAATAAATCCCTCTGTTGAACTGTTGAAATGACATTCTTGACTGTAGAAGAGAAAATCTTCTCTTAAGTGGTCTTCTTTATAAATTTTGTGGAGATTAAAATAAAATAAATGAGCATCTTGTTTAAGAGCAAAATCAAAAGGTATGTTGTAGTTGCTTTTATTAAGCTTTATCTCTAAAATACCTCTGCCCCTCACAGTAACTATAAAAACGGAGGGAGAAAAACTCCTCAACCTGGTAAAATGATTTAAACAAACAAAATGAGTCACTTAACAAATTAGAATATTAAAATTAAAAGTTAATTTATTTCAGTCACTAATGCAACAATTGAAAACTTCATAATTAATTACATGGAGCTTGGTGTTTTTATACCTTTATTACTGCTAATTATTGCATAATTACATGAGGCCAATACATAGCATGAAAAACTTGGACTTTATGTACATTTAATTTAGAACAAATATTTTACAACAGAGCAGGAACGTGTACATTAATACACAAATAGCATTATTCAGTTGGATTTTTTCTTAGATTATTTTTTTTTCTTTTAGGCTTCTTTGGTAAAAAAAAAAAAACCTGATCACAACATAAAAATTTTTTTTTTATTGAGCCATTTGTTGATAAATACTGACTAAATATATATTTCTTTCTCCAAAAAGTCTGATCACAACATAAAAAATATTTTTTTACTGAGCCATTTGTTGATAAATACTGACTAAATATATATTTCTTTCTCCAAAAAGTGAAACAATTTAAGGTATTTTTACACAGAGATCCAATACTAAGTTTACTAGACTGAAAATGACTGGTTTAAACTCAATGTTTTAAGTCTACCTCCTAATCTCCCCATAAACAAAGTAAAAAAAAAAAGAAAAGAAAAAAAGACAACCCCTCCTCAACAGGAGGACCATTCGGCGACCACCCCGAGTTATGGAGCCATTACTGCATCAGTGGGAGGTGTGCGGAGTCCAAAAAAAGCGCGCCTGATGCTGCTGAGCCCTAAAAGCTCCCAGCAACTCAATGGGACACAAAGGCTACATGCCCGCTTCATGTAAGGAACATGTCGTTTCATCCCTGTCACTATAGCCAGAACATTCAAAATGCAACGGCTTTCATAAGCTGGACTAAATCAGTTTCCTTTAATAAGACACCGCTTAGTGAGTTCATTTTCTCAACTCGCTAACTTCAATACAAGTTGTAAGCTAATTTTACCTCCACAGAATTCCGCTAAGAAACCCAAGTTTAGCTCACCATCAACAAACGGCAAATAAGAATAATCCCAAAGACTTAAATAACCCTAAAACATGAAAATGTCCGATAAAAAGTTTTCCCATACGATGATGAATACCTCAGAGAAACCGTGAAGTAATAAACACCGCAGCTAGATGAAGTACCTCTAGGCTAGCGCGGCTAATGCTAGCTAAATCCGAAGTTTACAAAACATTTTGGACTCAAATAAATGACCGCCCTCTAGCAAATCATTACGCAGCATTTTCATTTGTTTTAAAACCGTCGACACGCAGATAATGTGCGCACATTCAGAAAAATTTTTTTTACTATTGCGTATGATGAGAAATATTTTTTCTGAGTATTTATTTCACTTTCTTACCTCCGCCATGTTTGCTATCCAGCAAAGTGACGTCAGAGGTCAACGTCAGTTCCCCGGATGCGGAGCTCCGCCCACCTGCAATATCCACACCTTTAAAGCTAAAATGTTAAGCAAAATTAAGTTAATTAATGCTGGTTTTTGTTTATTTTGAATGTATTTAGGGGTGTAGTTTGTATTCATTGTTAAATAACCTGAATTCATTGGTGTTGACGTCATTATAAAGTTGCTCAAATACAGCTTTTCATCTGTAAGTAAATCAGTGCAGAGAGAGTGAACCTCCGGATGACGCGCTCATCTGATAAACGCGCTTGCTGCTCGTGCTTATGAGCACGTAGATCTGAAACAGCAGCTTGATGTGATAAAATTATATCAATGAAAATTTGTTTGAATCTAGACAATTCAATGTTTTACATGAATGAAACAGTAAAATAGCAAAATCAAAGCAAAAAAAAAAAAAAGCAAGTGGATGGATAAAAATAAGATAAAAGCAGATACTGAAGCCAATAAAACAGTCAGACCATAAACTTAAACTAATAATACCTCAGTTAACAGTTTAACTTTAACAGTAAAAGCCGGTTCTAAAAAAAAAAACGATTTTTAACTTTTAAGAATGACCTGACTACTTAAAAAAGTAAAAATATAGAGGTATAAAAAATTAGTTTGAAACGTTTTTTTTTTTATTATTGATTAATTGTTACTTTATTATTAACACCCTAAATTGTATTTTGTCACAAATCCATATAAAATAAAGCTTTTGGCTTTAAGAAAAAAAAGGCTGTAAATTTAGCCTACACAGTGTTAAATATGCAGTGTCA